TGTCAATTTGAGTGGAAATTGAGGTGACAATAGCGTCATAAGAAGTATCAAGACCACCAAGAAGATAAGCTGTAAATTCATGGTTTTAAAGGGGTTGTCCAATGGCTACCAAGTTGTCTGAGAAGGACTTCATTTTTTGAAAATAATCAGAAATTGATAGATTGCCTTTCTTGGTGGAGGCAAGGAATTGTCTAGTTTGTATGGCGCGGGCAAAAGAGTGAGAGGCAAACATTCTCTTAAGAGCAACCTCGACTTCTCTAGATGTTGACAAGCCAACCATTTGTGCCAGAATATTTTTAGACAAAGAAGATACCAGTGCACTTAGCATAACCTGATCTTGATCATACCAGGTAGAATAGTGGGAATTTGCTATTTTAGCAGGAGTGGTTTGAGAAGTTGCTGCTTTAGGATTAATAATAGTGGGGCTAGGACTAGAGATGGTTCCATCAACAAATCCAAAGAGATGTTGACCACATAGATAGGGGACGATTTGAGTTTTCTAGAGTAGATAATTATCTTTGGTAAGTTTAACTATGACGAGGTTGTGGATGTTGATGAGAGTGACAGAGTTGGAAGGAGAAGAAGCCATAATAGTGGATCAAAAAACGAAGGTTATATTATGCTCTGATACCATAAAACAATTAAGAATAATGCAAGAAACTCTCGTGCTCTATTTAGCGAGAGATAACATCTATTTATATTCATTACAGTACATTTAAGGAGAATAAATTACAGCTGTGTAGTCTATCAATTTTAGCTAAGGAATATATATAAAAGGCAAGAATTTAACTCCTGTAATCAAGATGTAATTTTATCTGTTGATTTGCAGTGATTTGTAATCGCATGTTTTGCCATAGACTTTGGATTCTGATATGCAGATTGTATTTCCATAATATCCAATAACATCTTAATTCAAGAAAACATTAATTAAAAATATCACCAATTATTAACATATATGCAAAGATATATTGACACTAGAGGTCATTGATTCTCTCTCTTTTTTTTAAGAAAAAAATTAATGAAAAAAATAATTAATGTTTGTTTGATTATTTTTCTTTTTATGTTAGTTATTTTTTTAATTTTGTATATTATTTTTTATTTCTCTTTAATTTAATTTCTAAAAATATTTACTCAACTTTCATGTGATTTTCAGATGGTTCTTGAAAAAATTTTAAAATTATGAAATAAATTATAAAAAAGATCCATGGCCACCCAGCCCACTCTCCTGGGCTATAAATTATAAAAAAGATCCATGGCCACCTAGCCCACTCTCTTAGGCTTTATTTTTATTTTTTAATTTTATTTTTTTAATATTAAGTTTTTATTATTTTTTAATATTTTTTTTAATTTTATCATTAAATATTTTTTAATTTTAAATTAGTTTTCATAATTTATTTTAATTTACTTTTCATAATATTATAGTGATCTCAAATAAATAATATGTGATATGGTTGACATCTAATTTTACAATAATTTATCTTTATTATTATATAATTAAATAATTTTTTGTATAAATTAATTATTAAACACAATAAATTCTATGACTAGAATTACATGTTAAGTGGGTAAAGCTGTAAAGTTTAAGTCAATCCAATATTTTTATATCTCAATATTTTTTTTAAAATTATTAATTTTATTTTATTTTAAAATTAAATTAATTTTTAAAGTTAAATGTAATATTTTTCTAAAATATATATTAAATCATATCAAATCAACTCCAGCTTACATGATTTAATCTTTTTGTATTAAAAAAACTAATATCGTAGCATTTATTTATAACCCAACGCAATATTGCCATTAAACCCACATTCAAAGAAACAACAAAAAGGGGTAATTAGGTTTGCATATTCCTTCTGAGAGATTCTATGCAAAATTGGTAAAAACAAATTGTTCATTTTTAGGACCAACTATGAAATTAATAAACTATTAATCTAAGTCTTCAACAGAAGAACACATGTAAATAATGATAAATTTAGCGCTTTGCACGTCCTAATTTACTTAATTAATTACGGACACAATTAACAAAAGCTAATAAACTCTTATTCCATTGATCATAATTACTTTGTGCTGGCGAGCCTCCTGGAAGAGCGCCAATCCTCTGTGCTTGAGCTTTTGCTCTTTAGCTGCCACGACCTTTTTTAAGTTCTTCCTCCTCCACCTTCAAAATAACCTTGTTGGAACTCAGTAGGGGTGATTAGTTGATATTTCATTAATAAACGCAATTTATTCTTATTTAAAATTAAATCGAAATTACGAGTCTCTTGAATTTCAATTTCAATTTCAATTTCATTCCTCACTCCAAAATATAAATATATGGAGAGACTAATTTCTCGATAATAATTTATTAAAATTTGCTAGTAAATTAAGTAAAATGACCCTAAAAGAGGATCTTTAGGATAACCCTTGATTTTCCAGCCACCTGTCGCTTGCATAATAAAAGAAAAATGAACGTCTTGTTACGTGCTTCTTTAGTCAAATAAAAAAATGACACGTGGGGTTAGCTTTCAGCCCACGTTTGTGGCCCTTGAGAGCTCTCAAAGAGCTGGGTACTGGGCCACTCATGCCCAAACATCTATTCTATTTTTATTATATTTTTTTTTTAAACTTTTCCTTTATTTAAAAAGAAAATGAGTATATTTTTATTTTTATTTTTAATATAAATATAATATATTTTCATAAAATTATCGATCAACATTTATTTTCAGATTTTCATTATTTTCTTATATATTTCCTCTTATTCCTTTTTTTTTTTCTTTTTTTTTTTAAATTTTTTTT